GTTTATAGAAATTAAAAAACTACTTTCCAAAAACAATTTATCAATAACACTATTTATGCTTGAAAAAGTATGGCTGACACAAAGTTCTAGGATGGTCAAAACTTAAGAAGATTTCATGGTAATTCAGATGTGGGCACATAGTGAGTGGCATGCTCCTATCAATACAGTAGGTAAACACCATATTCACGAATGACTGGAAACCATTCACGTGTTTGATCCCTGCACAAGTCAAAAAAATTATTCGGGTAGGTGAGCAATGGGACACAGAGAAGGATTTGTACTGTATTCAACTCACTTGTAAATTCAGTAATCATTACCTTGATTAGTCTCATTATAAATAGAGGTTTTCTCTCTCATTTGCGAGATTGACTAATTTCACTATAAAATAGCATCCTCTCTCTCTCTCTCTCTCTCTTGCATTCTCTAAGCTATAACTCAGTTACGTAGAATTCGTTTTTGAGCATCCAAACCACTTTAAACATTATTCTTCACCCTTTACTGAATTAAATATTTCCATAATGATATGTGATTTCTAAGCTCGCTTAGCATTTCTCACGTGCGAATATTTGGTGTCAAAATAAAGCATCAACACTATTATTTACAATAATGAGTATTAATAAAAGTCATGGTTGATATAAGTTTATATTATGAATTTGATTGGGTAATTTAAAATTAATCAATACTTTAATTAGTGTAATGATTTAGCGCTTAAAGTATCATTGTTATTAAATTAATGTATAATTTATTTTGTTTGAATCGTTCCTTGCTTTAAAAAAGAATTGCAATCTTGCATTTCATTTCACTCATTATTGTACGTTCTTTTAATTAAGTATTTAAAAGAAAAAAATAATGAAAGATGATTGTGACAATAGAATAGAGTTTGCATACATGTATTGTGTTGGATTAGTGAAGGATTATAACTTAATAAATTATGCTACTTTAATGGAGACATGTACATTTTTGTTTGTAAACTATATATATATATTTTTTCATTTGAAGCCCCACCTAAAGATAATGCTTGACATTAAGCAAATCTTTAGGCTAGATACGTTTCTTAATTTTAATACTAACAAATCGACATTGAATCTTTTGAATATTGAACCAACAACATTTTCCCAAGTCACGAAACAAACCTAAATAATTAGTAAAAAATTGTACCAAGTCTTTCCAATTTTTAATACTTATATATAAATCAATACTAAGTCTAAATAATATCATATATTAAAATAATAATACGTATCTCAAGATATCTGATAAATTTCATATTCAAATTTTAAAGTGATGAGTTGCCCGATGATATGGATATATCATTTAAAATAATAGTTATTATCAAGGTTCTAAAACCTGACCCGGGGGTAATCTGGCCAAGCCATCAAGTCACGGGTTTTACGTGTGGAAAGGTCCGACTGGCGGGTCAGACTATGACATCATGCATGACATCAGCAAAAAACAAAAAATAAAAAAAATGCATATTTTAATTTTTAATGGTTTTTTTTTTAATTTTCTTCTCCACTGGTGTTGGTTTTGTCGAATAAAAATGGGGAAGAGAGAAGAGAAAAGCTAAAAATGGTTACTTTTAATTTTTAATTATTTGTTAATATTTGACCGTAGCAAACTCGGGTTAAACCGATTGGATCGGTGGTTCGTTGGAAAAAACCAATTCAATTGCGAGTGGAAGTGGATCAATTTCTAATTTCGGTTTTTAACATGAACCAACCCGGTCTAGCCATTGATTCCCAGTCGAACTGGTTCAACCGGCCGGGCCGGGCCGGGTCGGGTTTTAAAACATGGTTATTATCAATTTGAAAACGTTTACTTTAACAGCAAAAGGCTAAATGGTAATACCCTTTTAAAATAACTATTTTAATTAAATTTTATATATAATAATATCTTATTTAGAATATATGTTTGAATTAGTAAAATTAATTTTTTAAATAATTAATTATATGACATAAAAATAAAATGAAGATAAATAAGTCCACTTATTAAAGATAAAAATCATTTACTTTTTAAAGTGATAAAGAAACAGTCGGATCCGGCCCGACACGAGAGCTGGATCTCATAATTCAGCCGAAGCAAACGCTTGATGTCTCGGGTTGCTGAGTCATCAACTGAGATCTGTTTCTTAAAAAACGACGGCAAAGGAAGCGAACTCGGTCCGGAGACACCGCGAAAGCCGATCCGGCATAAACGTCACACTTACCGGTCATCCTTCCCGGTGCCACCGTACTTCCTTCTTGATCTTAGAATCTAGCGACTCCACGTATTAATCATCACTTCTCTGCCAGCAGATCATTCTTATTTTCACTACTTCTCACGCTCTTCGATCATCAGAGTTCGACCTCTTGATCATCATTTTCGAATATCTGAAACCGACGTCGATCTCTTCGACATCGACGGCTGATTGAGCCCGCTGTCGTCTCTGGTCCGGTTTCTCAGTCGAACCGGGTTTCCAGTTCGGTCTCGTGTTGCTGTTGCTGGAATAATAGGGTTAAATATCATAGTTTCTCGACGAGAATACAAACCCGCCGGAGGAACTTTATCCGTTCGATCAAACAATCTGAGGCCGTAAAATTTCAGTCCCATAATTTAAAAGTTAAAAAGAAACAAAATAGAAAGAAATCTGAAAATCTTAAAAGACTTTTGAATCTCTTTTCTTCCTTACCTAGCTGTTTTCACCTCTTCTTCTTCAAAGCTAAGGAAGAGAGGTTTTTTTTTTTTTTTTTTTTTCGAGTTTTATCTGATGTGTGTTTTGACAGGTTGGATAGGAGACTAGGAGTATCTAAGATGCATGGTAACTTGCATGTATTCTCGATGATGGATGATAAATCTTAATTATACGCATTCTCTGTTGGCTTTATGAAGCATAAGAATCTCGAAATGATTGGAATAAGTACCAACCAATGTTTGTTTTAAGAACGTGTCTTGAGTTTTAGGGAGAACATCTCCTTTCAATGGTCATTTTGTTCTTTTATAAGATCAACGAGTTTTATATCTAGAGAAATTTAGCTCCTAAAATTCATTTTAGGTGGTAGAAAAAAATTTAGGACTTTACTTTATCCTATAGGCATAAGTAATTTTCTCTCTAGAATTTGCGTCTTGTAGATGCATGTCATAACAGGCATTCTGGCATCCAAAAACAATAATAAAAAATATAAATATAAAATGCGATAATTATAAAGGAAAGATAAATTGCATAAAGATTAAAGAATAATAAAATGACAATAATAACAATAAATTGGCTGTAATGAAAGGAAAGCAACAATTAGAGTTAGAACTTCAGGTTATGATATCATAATTTTGAAAATTAAAACTTCAAGTCCTAAATTTTGAGTTCTTTAGACTTTAGGCCTTTAATTACTATTATTTATGAACTTTAAGTTAGAAGTTATATTTCAGTACTTAAAACTTCAAGTTTTGAATCCATATATCAAAGGCACAATCAAGACTCCAGGTTCTGACATTTGAAACTTCATACTCTAAAACAAAAATCAAAATTTTAAATTAAAAACTTCAAATTCATGATTGAAAATTGATTCTTAGAACTCAAGGTTCATTTATCATTTCTATTTACAAACTTCAGCTTTCTATAATTTCTTGTGTCTCAAGTAATATAATACAACTAAGAAAAATAAATATGTAATGCAATTAAGTCATTAATAGCAAAATGTAGCAACATTAGCAATATGTATAAAGAAATAAAGTCAATTCGTTAATTCAAGAAACAATTCTAACAAATATATTATTGTTAGGAACTAATCGTATTTTTTAATATGGAATATCCATTTTATGGCAACCATATAGTATACTTATTGAGATCAAATAAACTAGTAGGAGAATAAAATAAAAAAGACTGAAATAAGAAGGCTCTCTCCATTGTTATGTGTACAGGTGAATGAAATAGGCTAAATTTATAACCATCCACAGCGCATGAAACCTATAATTTATTGCCAAGACAAGACACAAATGTCCTCAAGTTAGAGATGCGTAGTCCGTACATATGTTATTATGTCCATTTGGCATGGTAAATGGTTTAAAAGCCACGCCTTTTTTTCTTTTTCGAGACCGGATCAATTTATGAACATATCAATTAATTCTTAGGATTTATAAATTTAATATTCTAGAGTAAATCACATGTGATAGATAATCCAAAAAAATCAATAAAAATAACAAACCTTCCTCTGAGGATAAAAAAAAAACACATCTTTTATAACGCTTCACGGTCATGGCTTTCCTTTCCTTTCCTTTCTTTTCTTTTTGACATTTTATATGAACAGAGACCTAACCAATAAAACCAAACAAAATAAAGGGTGATAAATTCAAAGCACCCCACTCTCCAACATCACAAACCTACACGTATCTATCTAAATTAAATGCATCACTCACCAGTTGTTAACCATCCATTGGGTAGTCAAGTCGTACAAGAGGTCCTAGTTGATTCATCTCGGTTGTTGTAAAACTGACCAGACACCCAGTCACACACACACACACACACACACACACACACAAAGTTGTTGACAAAATTTCACACCCACTGACGTAACCACCTCTTCTTACCTTACCTTACCTATACAATCCTCCTCCATTTCCTGCCACATAAAAACCTTCAACAGATAATTCAAACCAAAAATTTCAAACACATAAATCAACATACAATTTCTCCATTTGCAGGATAAAAGTTTTCAATTTCTTCTTGTTAATTAAAAGTGGAATCACTTGGAATGTAGAAGACTGAGCTGCGAAACCCAGGAACTGAAGATACATCATCAGTATACACCATCTACAAACAGAAAATAATGAAAACCCATGAAACATTTCTAAAACAAAAGGGAAACTCAGATAATATCAACTCTCATCTGCTCGATTTTTTTCCCTAATTTTTATCTTCTTACCTTACAATACAAAAGGAGATTAGTTACAAATCTCTTAGCAATTTTTAATTCACAACAGAGCAGACAACAACATTTCACAGCCCACACTAATCACATGCCCAAACACTATTTTTTTTTTTTTTTTTTACCAATATTACATTCAACCCCCTCTTCTTCACTTTTCTTCCATTTTACAGCGCCCCCCATCAAATCAAACCTCCTAATTTTACCCCATATTTCCACATATCGACTAATTCGCCTCCGTTTTTTTACCTTGTACTTCAGATCTTCTCCTTCCCGTTTAAAAAAATATCGGGAATTTCGGACCTTGAAAATCCAAGGAAGAATTGACGGAGACGAAATTAAAAGTTAAAATCAAGTGTCGGATCCGGCTCGACACGAGAGCTGGATCTCATAATTCAAGCCGAAGCAAACGCTTGATGTCTCGGGTTGCTGAGTCATCAACTGAGATCTGTTTCTTAAAAAACGACGGCAAAGGAAGCGAACTCGGCTCCGGAGACACCGCGAAAGCCGATCCGGCATAAACGTCACACTTACCGGTCATCCTTCGCGGTGCCACCGTACCTTCCTTCTTGATCTTGGAATCTAGCGACTCTCCACGTCTTAAGATCATCACCTTCTCTGCCAGCAGATCATTCTTATTTTCACTACTTCTCACCGTCTTCCGATCATCAGAGTTCGACCTCTTGATCATCATTTTCGAATCATCTGAAACCGACGTCGATCTCTTCGACATCGACGGCTCCGATTGAGCCCGCTGTCGTCTCTGGTCCGGTTTCTCATGTCGAACCGCTGGTTTCCAGTTCGGTCTCGTGTTGCTGTTGCTGGAATAATTAGGGTTAAAATATCCATAGTTTCTTCGACGAGAATACAAACCCGCCGGAGGAACTCTTATCCGTTCGATCAAACAATCCTGAGGCCGTAAAATTTCAGTCCCCATAATTTAAAAGTTAAAAAAGAAACAAAATAGAAAGAAATCTGAAAATCTATAAAAAGACTTTTGAATCTCTTTTCTTCCTTACTTCCTAGCTGTTTTCACCTCTTCTTCTTCAAAGCTAAGGAAGAGAGGTTTTTTTTTTTTTTTTTTTTTTTTCAAGTTTTATCTATCTGCTGTGTTTTGCAGTTGGGATGGTGTGTTTGTGATGATATATATAGGGGGGAGAAGAGAGAGATAAAATTGTAGGGACAGCTGGCACCGACCGCGTGAAAGTGGGGCCGGTCTGACAGGATGGCCCGGCCGACCGGCCGCTGGTTTGATTAAAAGACAAGTAGCTGATGGCCTTTACCTGACTGGTCTTTGTGCGTTTTTGTGTGGGACCTACGTGGAAAAGTCTACACGGAAACCGTTAGGCGTTAGCTCTCCGTTAATTGGCTGTCCGCTTTTTGAATAATGGAGTACCGCGTTGGACGAGGAGGGTTTGTTGTCGGTTCGGGTTAGGAAAGGAAATTATTATTTGGTAGGGGGGTCCACAAGTGGCGTAGGGGTAGCTTGGATTTTGAAATTCGGGGTAGGAGTGACGTGTACATTTGATTGTGGTTGGGGTTCATAGTAAGGACGGTTTAAGTAGGTGTTTATAGAAATTAAAAACTACTTTCCAAAACAATTTATCAATAACACTATTTATGCTGAAAAAGTATGGCTGACACAAGTTCTAGGATGGTCAACTTAAGAAGATTTCATGGTAATTCATGTGGGCACATAGTGATTGGCATGCTCCTATCAATACAGTGGTAACACCATATTCACGAATGACTGGAAACCATTCCCGTGTTTGATCCCTGCACAAGTCAAAAAAATTATTCGGGTAGGAGCAATGACACAGAGAAGGATTTGTACTGTATTACAACCACTTGTAAATTCAGTAATCATTACCTTGATTAGTCTCATTATAAATAGAGGTTTTCTCTCTCATTTGCGAGATTGACTAATTTCACTATAAAATAGCATCCTCTCTCTCTCTCTCTCTCTCTTGCATTCTCTAAGCTATAACTCAGTTACGTAGAATTCGTTTTTGAGCATCCAAACCACTTTAAACATTATTCTTCACCCTTTACTGAATTAAATATTTCCATAATGATATGTGATTTCTAAGCTCGCTTAGCATTTCTCACGTGCGAATATTTGGTGTCAAAATAAAGCATCAACACTATTATTTACAATAATGAGTATTAATAAAAGTCATGGTTGATATAAGTTTATATTATGAATTTGATTGGGTAATTTAAAATTAATCAATACTTTAATTAGTGTAATGATTTAGTGCTTAAGGTATCATTGTTATTAAATTAATATATAATTTATTTTGTTTGAATCGTTCCTTGCTTTAAAAAAGAATTGCAATCTTGCATTTCATTTCACTCATTATTGTACGTTCTTTTAATTAAGTATTTAAAAGAAAAAAATAATGAAAGATGATTGTGACACTAGAATAGAGTTTGCATACGTGTATTGTGTTGGATTAGTGAAGGATTATAACTTAATAAATTATGCTACTTTAATGGAGACATGTACATTTTTGTTTGTAAACTATATATATATATTTTTTAATTTGAAGCCCCACCTAAAGATAACGCTCGACATTAAGCAAATCTTTAGGTTAGATACGTTTCTTAATTTTAATACTAACAAATCGACATTGAATCTTTTGAATATTGAACCAACAACATTTTCCCAAGTCATGAAACAAACCTAAATAATTAGTAAAAAATTGTACCAAGTCTTTCCAATTTTTAATACTTATATATAAATCAATACTAAGTCTAAATAATATCATATATTAAAATAATAATACGTCTCTCAAGATATCTGTTAAATTTCATATTCAAATTTTAAAGTGATGAGTTGCCCGATGATATGGATATATCATTTAAAATAATAGTTATTATCAAGGTTCTAAAACCTGACCCGGGGGTAATCTGGCCAAGCCATCAAGTCACGGGTTTTACGTGTGGAAAGGTCCGACTGGCGGGTCAGACTATGACATCATGCATGACATCAGCAAAAAACAAAAAATAAAAAAAATGCATATTTTAATTTTTAATGGTTTTTTTTTTAATTTTCTTCTCCACTGGTGTTGGTTTTGTCGAATAAAAATGGGGAAGAGAGAAGAGAAAAGCTAAAAATGGTTACTTTTAATTTTTAATTATTTGTTAATATTTTATCATAGCAAACCCGGGTTAAACCGATTGGATCGGTGGTTCGTTGGAAAAAACCAGTTCAATTACGGGTGGAAGTGGATCAATTTCTAATTTCGGTTTTTAACATGAACCAACCCGGTCTAGCCATTGATTCCCAGTCGAACTGGTTCAACCGGCCGGGCCGGGCCGGGTCAGGTTTTAAAACATGGTTATTATCAATTCGAAAACGTTTACTTTAACAGCAAAAGGCTGAATGGTAATACCCTTTTAAAATAATTATTTTAATTAAATTTTATATATAATAATATCTTATTTAGAATATATGTTTGAATTAGTAAAATTAATTTTTTAAATAATTAATTATATGACATAAAAATAAAATGAAGATAAATAAGTCCACTTATTAAAGATAAAAATCATTTACTTTTTAAAGTGATAGGAAAGTAATATGAGCGGACCTTGATTAATCGGTCCCCACCTAAGAAAATAAAGGGGAGGAGGAAACAAATCTTGTAAACTTTTGATAGAATATGGGGCCCAATTCTTTATTTTCTTTATAAAAAAAAAAAAAAAAGTATTTAATTGGAAGTTTGTAAGGAAGCAATAATGCAGTTGTAGTGTTGTCTTCTATTCTACTCTTTATCTTAATAAATAAATACATTGGGAAAGTGTCATGGAAACATCTCACCTCCTGTAATAAATTGATTAAACCACTAAAGTTAAAGTTGATGTGGGAAATGAGAATCATGGAAGCTTTGTAAAAGTATATGCCTTTTAATTATCAATAAATCTATCCTTACAAAGAAGTCTACAAAGAAGCTTACAAAGTGAAGGAAAAAACAAAGAAAAAACGGAAAAAGAGAAAGAGAGAGAGGGAGAAATGATGAAGATGAAGGGTGTAGGTTAACTTTGTATGTCTCCTTTGTAGGCTTCTTTGTAAGACTAGTAATGCTGTTTAATTATTAATGAAAAATGTGCTTGCCCAATCTTATCATAAATTTTTTTTCCCCTATTAGTTTATTAAATATCTATATTACCCTCATTTTTTAAATTAAGGTTATAAACTTAATCGTAAAAGGGTTATCTCATCAATTCGCTCACATATATAGTCAGAAAATTAATTTAGAATTTGTTTTGATTAATTGAGTATCAGGATTTTGGTTAAAATTTTGATTAACTTGGCATAAATTTATGATTTTGGATGAACTTTTTAGGACTAATTTTCTTTAGATTTGATTATTCTCTTAATTTGTTCCAATTGATATTTTCCATAATTTTTTTATTAATTAATTTTAAAAATATTTATTCTTCTTATAGTGATTTAAAACTAGAATTTTAGTGGTCAAACCAAGACAAATAGAAAATGAGATGAACCGAGACTAACTTTGAGATAACATTGAGTGTTTTCAAAATCAAAAGGGAGAAATATCCTTCAGACACTAATAATGGTGACAAGTGGCATCTGGGCTTTTATAGGGCCGACAGTTCTAGAATCTTAAAAGATTATTTGAGGTATACGTAAACTGATTCAAGCATTTTTGATAAAAAAAAAAAAAATGGGAGTAATGTCTTTTCGCGATAAATTGAGGGTCAAAATGTCATTCCAACTTACTACATTTATGTAGTGTTAGTATTAGTTGACCTGCCATTTTCGTTGAATATGCCTAATTTTCCAGGACCCTTCACTTGTTTCTCAAGTTGTTTCTTTGCCTACTCGGGTCCAGGTCACAAAAATTGACCAAATAATATGAAAGTAGAAGGAAGGAACACGTCTGGCGTATCGGTAAAGATTAAAGAAAAAGGAATGAAGTAAGAAAGAAGTTGTGTTAAGTCAAATTTGAATGGCTACTAATTTAATCATAGGTGAAGATGGGAAAGCTGAAGGAACCTGGAAATTCTTTGTAATTTAAACAGTGGAATCAGAAAGCTTGTTCATGATCACGACAAACCTTAACACTGCCAGGATGTGCCACACAAAGATGTCCCTTACTGTATTGGCAAACATAATATTCAGATACTGTTTCTGCATAATGTCCTTTATTTTAATAAACACTTGCTTTACTTATGCAATTCTTCAATAAATCAACTGCTAATTCTTGCAAATAATTCATAAATGAAGATTGTATGAGATTAAAATAACCCATATTTCTGATTTGATTAGATCCTATTCCTAAAGAACTGAATTTAAAAACCACCACTTGGTAGTCTATGATAAAAGAGTAAAAGGGTCAAACATGCGTTCTTGAGTTTGAGTCTTCCCAAACACTAATAGGAGTAACCACTAATAGGAGATTTATCCGATCGTTTACTTCAAGGTCTTGGAAGATTAGTTGAGGTGCATGCAGACTACTTGGACATCCTTGGTCATATGAAAAAAAAAAAAAAAAAAAACTGAACTTAACCTAGATTAATATAAAGCTTTTCTGAGATTTTTTTTTTCTGTGAATGAAATAGGTGCCTGGTTCATTGGGTTGTGCAGGGACAGGAATAACTTGATAATGATTTTACGTATGAGTTGAGTGGTGTTGGGTGTCCAGTCCAAGATCTTTTACAATGTATGATGCTTATTAGACACATGAAATTAAATAAATAAAATGATGACCGATTGAAAAACAACAACCACAAACAATATCACATTAACTTGATGTAGGGCCTCTTCAGATGGAATCCAATGACTTCCTTCTTCCTTTATATACCAGTCGCAGTCAATGACAGTCAGTCATCAAACATCTGCGTATGGAAGCAGACAAACTACAGAGCTAGAGCCCACAAGCCATTGATTGTTTTTTGTTTTTGGGCCGTTTAGAACTGTTTTGAGGTACCATTATGAGGCCCAGAACTTTTACACTCTACCTCTGTTGGACAACGCCATCCACTGGTTCCTGAACACTGAAATTCAAAGCTGAAGCGTCACGGAAACAGCCTCCTCAACCTCTTTTCATTTATGGCATCAACACCTTAAAATAGGAGAAGCCATTGTAATTGTGTTCTATCCTTTTGTGCTGCACACAACAAAAAGTTATATACGTAAAGTATGCTAACTTTTGCAAATATTGTATTTATAAGAAATGGTCCTTAAAAACGTTAGCCCATGAAAAGGCTTAAAATTATTTCACCTTCAAGTTTGACCTGCTAATGTTTGATCCCTAGTGTCACGCACTTAACTTCTTTGCTAAGTTCGTGCGGCCTTAACTCGTCGGAAATGAGTTAAGCAGCCTAACGCTCACACAAACTCACAGGCTCAATAGTATGTAAACGATAGAGAAATGTAGAGAAAATCTAAACTCTGTATTTGATGGAATTCAAGTTATGAAATTTACATGGTAGAGTTGGCTATTTATAGGCTCAAGCTCCTCAAATTAAATGTGACTAAGCTACATGGGTGTCGAGCATTGGTGCAGCCTTGGAAACGAAACTCGTGGGTGGCGAGCATTGGAGCAACCTTGGAAACGAAGGTGCTTAATCGCTGAACCTAGCTGCTGAGTCGTTAACTTAGCTCTTAAGTTTGCTTCACCCTGAAGTATACTTAATCAGTAAGTAACATGCAGCATGCTTGGGCAAGCAGGCTGGTCGTGACACTAGGCTCTAAAACATGACAATTTGAAACTTGATTTTTAAATGAAAATTTTGGGAGTTGATAGAAAGCTTCAAGGGAAGCTTTTCACCAACTCAAGACTTTCGTTTCAAAACCAGGAGAGAGCAGCCCAAAAGGTCTCAGCCACCCTTATTTTACCTCTCACCTTCAATTCAACTTTTAATCAATGGTTGTGTTATTGTAAAAATGATGTAATTGATATTATTTTATTCTCCGTCGATCTTTATTTCCTTTACTAATGTAATATTATTGATGGACCTCAATTAACAATAATTGAGCTAACTAAACTCTAAATTTTCATTAGAATAATACCTTATCTACAACTCAATCTTACAACATTTTCTTACAATCCCAAAGTAACAGTTAAGTTGACAACTGTCACGTTAGCTCCCATCACACTTAAGACATTAAATGACTTTGACTAAACATGAACGGTCATAAAGAATGACTATTCATAAAAAATTATTATTCCTTATGAAAGAACAACTATTCTTTATGAATGGAACAATCATTCCTTATGAATAAACGATCATTCGTCCTTAAGGAACGATTGTTCGTCTTTAAAGAATGGTCGTTCATGTTTATTCAAAATCGTCAATTAACATGATAATGTCAATAGAATTGTAAGAGAAAATCATGAAATTGTGTTGTAAATGTAATATTTTTGTTTTCATCAACGTCTGTAAGTAACAATGGGGAGAATGTCACTTATTACAAATGTTATGGAATCACATCAATTCTCTAAACCTCAGGGTCTTTAATTTTTTTTTTTTTTCAGTCCCCATAAAAACAAAACCAAAGAATGTGCATGAGATGAGAGGAGTAGGAAGAGGACACACAAGTTGAGGTAGAAAGAGAGAGCAGTAATGTATAGCTTGTCTTTAGTTGATTTCTATCTTTTCTCCAACCACATATTCCCAACTGCACAAAACAAAGCCATGCCCTTCCCTATTTTCTATCCATCCAACACAACAACTTACACAACATACTATATTATATTACTTCACTTACTACAACAGTGTACAACTTGTTGTACTTAGCTTTTCTTCCGTTAATTATAACAATAATTAAATAATTAAAAAAAGCAAAAAAAGCAAGAGAGAAGAAATGCTAAGCAAGGAATCGAGTGGATCCACCTTCGATCTACACGAGGAGGTTTTGCAAGTGTTGCCGTCTGATCCTTTCGAGCAACTCGATGTGGCCCGCAAAATCACTTCCCTTGCTCTCTCCACACGTGTCTCCGCTCTCGAATCTGAGTCTTCTGCTCTACGCGCTCAGCTTGCCGAGAAGGACTCCGTCATCGCCGACCTCCAAGCACAAATTGAATCCTTTGACTCTTCTCTCTCCGACATCACCAATAAACTCTCCCAGGCCCAGCTCGAAAAGGTCCCACCATTACACTCCTCCGTCCGCCTCTTTCTTTATTAATTATTATTTCTATGCTTGACTTTTGTTCTCCTTTGTTTCAGGAGAACTTGATTAAAGATAACGCATATTTGGCCAACACCGTTAAGAAGCTACAGAGAGATGTCTCCAAGGCATGTTTTTTGTTTTCAATTTTTTGCATTTTTTCGATTATGTTTCGAATTTTATGATATGAATTGTTGTTTTTGTGTGTGGACAGTTGGAGATTTTTAAAAAAACTCTTATGCAATCACTTCAAGACGATGAAGAAACAACCTCGGTAAGTTTTGTTTACTGATAAGTTATTGTTTTTGCTTTTGAAATGAGTTGTTTTCTGTGGCAATGCGTTGACTTCTTTGACTTGGATTTGCTACAGACTAGAGCTACACACATCATTGCCAAGCCCACGCCCAATGGTATACGGGATTTTGTTGATTTTCTTTTTACAAAATGTTACGTTGTAGCTGCTTTACATTGCTTTATGTATACATTTTATTCTCAATGGTTTTCTGTTACGAGAAAATGTACTTGTTTTGGTGTTTTTAAGACGGGTTGCTAATGAGGGAGAGTTTTAGATGAGGCAGGCGCATCACTTCATCAAAATATTTGTTCAAAAAATTCATCTTAAGTGCATTCATTTTCACTAATAACTGTAGTGTTGGTTAATGGATGAAAGAAAAAATAAGTACATATATAAATGTGAGTTTAATGGACAGTTGCATGGATGCAGTGGTTCAACGACCCAAGTTAAGACTTCTCCTACAAGATTGGTGTGGTAGCGTTTGAAAACTTTTAAATCTATGATGGTTTTCAGTTTCTTTTGGGACTTTCTTGGCCATTTTAAAGTGTTCAAGTCATAAAAGATTATTGTCATGCGATATCTAGTTGAATATTAGGTGCATGTTTAATGTGATGCATTAATATTTTTGTGTGTTCCTATCCCATTGCATAATGCTATTTGCAACAATTAGCTGATTAATGTTATCTGAGTCGCCACTGCAATTTCTTTTTCTGTGTGTCATTTTTTGGTTGGTATGGAGTTGCTTAACATATTATAAATTTTCTGGTGTTCGTACCCTGATAGATTTGTGATGATCTATGACTCTACTAAACATGTGGACTATGAATTATTTGGTTGACATTTTCATAAATCCTCGATTCAAAGTTCTTTTCTGGTTTGTTCCAGAAGATGATGCCACCCTCCTGCGTTCAAGATCTTCTCCAATGAAGAGCCAGTTTTCAGAAACAGGGATTTCTTCATTTAATGAGGATCGTGAGACAGATGGTATACCAAAATTTTATGCCAACTATAGATTTCAACTCTCAACGAGAAATTTGTCCTCGATGCTACTCTACCTCACTTTATTTTATTGCTCTCTTTTCTTGAGTTAATGAGTCTGTATTGCTTGCAATTAAGCGCATTACAAATGGTACACCTTCTTTTTTTCTTACTTAATTTTGTTATTGTGGTAGCCTCAAGACCTGGCATATCTCACAGGCTTCTGCTAGCATCCCAAACAAGCACACCTAGGCTAACTCCTCTTGGGTCCCCTCCAAGTCTATCAGCTTCTGTATCTCCCACAAGAACATCTAAACCAGTTTCTCCAAGACGACACTCAATTTCATTTTCTACCACAAGAGGCATGTTTGATGATAGGTCATCTATATTTTCTTCAAGCCCATACAGTTCCGTAAAGGGCTCTGACACAGGACCACATACTGGTAAGTAGAGAGCGTTTTTTTTAGAATATGACTGTGGAGTTTCATGTTTTAAAGGTTGAATGTGGACCATAATACCATTTCAAGAGGGTGCAGTCTTTAAATCTCTCACATTCCTTAAAGAGCATTTGTTCAAAGAAGGATAAAAAGAAAAAATTGAGAAAATCAAACAATGTGGCTAGGGCTCTTTGAAATTTCATTTATGCTCATGTTCATTTTGCTTCAGTATAAGCTGCATCGTTTTTAATGGGTTTTTACGGCAGTTCTGATTGTTGCGTTGATATTGGATTTTATTCCAATAACTCTTATTAGCTTCTGGTAATAAATTGTGTGTAGCTAATAGTTCTTTTAAACTGTGTCATCTTTTGGAAGCTATGTTATTGTTTAGCATAAATTTACAATCTGGAATTCATAATTCCACATGTCTTTCTTTCTTTCTTTTTTTCTTTCGTAATTATTTTTAGTGGACAGATCCAATGGTATTTGTTCAGTAGCTGCTTAAACCTCCAGAATTCTTGAAATGGTACCTAACAACACAAAAACCAATTTCTTTTTTTTCTTTTTTAGCATAGAAGTTCCTGAATCTAGTGCTTGGTTTGCAAGTAGCTTAACTTTTATTGACACTAAGAGTATTTAACAAAACCTCTATTATGTTATGTCTTTCTCTTTTTTATTTTGTATTTTATTTTTTCAGGGCGAACTCGAGTTGATGGGAAAGAATTCTTCCGCCAAGTCAGGTAAAGACTTTCTAAGGTTGGGAAGTATAATAATGAAATCCATAATTTATTTAAAATTAAATGCTCACCGGATCAGATTTAAATCAGTGAATAACCAAGTGTGGTGCAATTGAAAAAGGTTTGTGCTTCTAATAAGTAGTGCATGTGCTATTATCCCAGTATGATATAAGAGGTGATTTGCACATATGCATGGCAACATAGAAAATTCATTGTAGGGCGACAGTTATGTGCACTGTTGCAAGTGGATACTTGTTTGTTGGTACCTTGAAAACTTGCTATCAAACTTGATGATGATCTACATCTTATAACTGGCTTCAGAGTTGTTTCACCAGATTATTTTAAGTACTGTTGCTTGGATTAAAATTTGTCCTGCCATGTAATTTTGGGGCCATTCTTAAATACTGGCATTATATACATTGCCCTGCGAGTTTCTCATCATTTTTTGTCATGCTCTGTTACATCCAGGCCCGTCCACTTTTGTGGACCGTACTAGTATTGGTATTAACCTATTTTTGGTGCAAAAGATCAATTTCAATTTCCTGTGCTCGCAACTGAACTTTTGACCTGTACGGACTCAGGAGTTGAACACTTTCTTTTGTTTTATCAGGAGCCGATTATCATATGAGCAGTTTGGTGCGTTTCTGGCTAATGTTAAGGAATTGAATTCACATAAACAGACAAGAGAAGTAAATGACTCGCTCTCAATAACTCTTGTGTTTTATAAATTGCTACTTCGATCAATTTACATCTCTCCCTCTTTTTTTTTCAGGAGACTCTGCGGAAGGCTGATGAGATTTTTGGTCCAGAAAACAAGGACCTTTATGCAATATTTGAGGGATTGATCACCAAAAATGCCCACTGAACTTTTTTCTGTAAAGTAACTCATAATTCAAGTGCATTGACACTTCGTATGAATAATCTTGTAATTTATATTGTATGAGGTTGAGTTAATCTTAATCTTAATCTTCTTGTCAGCAAAACATTTATTTAACACATGTTGTATCTATTTAATTGACAAAAATACAAAGATAAGCAACTTATGAAATAAGGGAAGTCATGGAATAAATAAATTTAGCTCACTCGTTGATCCAAACTGTCAGGAAAACCATTTATCTTCCTTTTTACTCCTCAAAAGAAGAAATAATTCCATTATGAGTTAACTGACTTTTTTCAACTCAAATAATGGCTTAATGATAATTGTTCACTTATAGACTTTTAAAATACTGCTTTACAACTTAAATTTATATTTTGGTGACAAATAAAGAGTAAATTCGGTCTAAACTGTTGGGATTTTTGAAGGGGAGACTAATGAGTCTTTTGGTGGTTGAATGTTAGATTTTGGTGATTGTGATTGATCGGTATTTGACATGAGAGAGGTGATTACACAAACTCTAATCGCTCGATTGCTGACGATTGATGGAGTTGACGAGAGTAGGGTTTGAGGAGTTTTGGTGAGTGATGATCAGAGAAAAGAATAGTGGTGTGGGATGGTGTGGGGTCGTAATAAGGTTGGAATCAGAAACAGAATATAAATTTAGATAGAAAAGTAGCATTTTAAAAGTCTGTGGATAGGAAAGTGCCATTAACCCATTATTTGGACGGAAAAAAGTCTTTTACTCTTCCATTCCAAACAAATAATACTGAAAAAAAATAAGACAAGGCGTGCAAGTAAACCAATAATTGCTCTAAAATAGTAAAATCTTCCCCGCAAGATAGGCTTTTAGCAACTTCAAGCAAGGCTTTATCCTTTATGGAAATGCTCTTCTTGTACTAGTAGGGAATCAGGAGCCTGCATAATCGGAATAATGAAAAGGAATCAAGGCTTTCATAGAGGTGACGCCATTAAAATCAACGGCTTAAAATAAATCATGAGCTTTAATGAGACTTGGTTAAGTGGTAGGCATGTTTTTTTTTTTATTGCAAAGTTGTAATCTATTGATTTTAGGTGGGACCGTTATTGACCCATTATGTGTATTTTCCGACTATAAAATACACGTGTCAAAAACCCATTACATGGAACCCAGTTTTCCCGGACTAGCTTGTGGAAGACTCCATAGTATCAAACGTGCTTGCATACAAATTTTACTAACTAATTAAATTAATTAGCTCAGTTGGTTTCTTTATCCAGATAACTAGATTTGATAAACATGGAAGAATGACAGAAGAAAAAGCCGATTTTCAAGCATAGAAATCAGGTCCATTGTCTAAATTTTATTGCATATTAAAGAAGCTAAGTCAATTTATGCCAACCGCTAACTATACCATTTCTTGTCTCTGTCCCTCTCTCTTTCATACACGCATTAACAAACCACACACTTTAATTCCCATTTCCATTGGCCTCTCTCATTTTGGTTTCTCAGGCCTCTCTGGTTTTCCACCTCAGAGGAGGAGTTATGGAGTTTCATGATGCCAAAGAGACTTTTGACTCACCACGGTTTTTAACTTCCCAATTTTCCATACATTTTTAACAATGCATCATTCATGTACATTTATTGATGCCATGGTTTCAAAGTTTATAACATTGGCTGCTTCTGTGTTTCCATGTTTAAAAATTCAGAAATATTCATTCATATATAAAGAAGCTGATGATATATTTTTGTTTTCTTTAGATATTTGGTATCAGAGTTTTCCCTTATTATATGTATTTTGTAATGTGTTCTATTTCCTTGTAACGATTGAAAATTCGTATTGGCAGGGTTGATTCTCTTCACTCCACTGATGAAAATGTTATCAGTGAGACTTATGACATAACCAGCTGTGATAATATTGAAAAGAAGGCCGCACGAGTTAAAGGCAGAAGAAGTAGAGCCGGGTGCTCTGACTCTTGGTCATCCCAGGGTAAAATTTCTATTTCTTTTATGTCCCTCTCTTGAGATATTTTATCTTGTAATAATTCTTCATATATGCATGTGCTAATGTTACGTTTCTGTCACATTTGAATCAGACTTTTCTTCTTTAACCATGGAGATTGAGGAGGGAGTAGACGAATGCTATCCAGAAGAAGCTCTTGTGGAAGGCATTGATGAATGCTCTGAAGTAGTAGAAGGTGTTCTGGATAGCTTAAGAAGCGTAGAATCTGAAACAGCTTGTTCCAAGGCCAGTACTTCTTCTGACTCAGAAGATCACCACCACCACCACAACAATCCTCCACATTGGTCTGGCTTCTTTGGTTTGTTGAGAAAAGGATCTGGAATTAAATTCCAAGCTTTCCCTTCTCGGAAAAATGTCCCCAAGCTCACCAAAAGAAAAACAAAAAGAATTAGAGAGACCACCAGTCTTTTACTGAATTCTCCTTTGGATGCTGAACTATGCCATTTGAAATCTTCCTGGAAGAACTTTTCATTCTTGGACCTTCAAGCTGCAACCAATGGCTTCAGCCCTGGTTCGTACTTGTTCCTTTCCTTTTCAGAATTTAATGAAATGTGCTCTTTTTAAATGTTGTTGCTAAAAAACCATTTGATTTGTGAAGAGAATTTGATTGGGCAAGGAGGCTATGCTGAAGTTTACAAAGGGGAATTGTCAGATGGGCAACATGTTGCAATAAAAAGGCTAACTAAAGGTTCCCCTGAAGAGATGACAATGGACTTTTTATCCGAGCTCGGAATTATAGTCCATGTTGATCATCCCAATATTGCTAAATTGATTGGTTATGGGGTTGAAGGAGGAATGCACCTTGTTCTGCAATTATCGCCCCATGGGAGCCTGGCATCGTTACTTTATGGTTTGTTTATCAGTTTCCGGCTTTCTAAATTGAAACCTTCTGAAGTTTTCGTTCAATAAAATTTATGTTATTGTTTCTTGCTCCATGTCTACAGGCTCAAAGGAAAAACTGGATTGGGACATCAGATTTAAGATTGCTGTGGGGACTGCCAGTGGCCTTACATATCTTCATGAGGGGTGCCAAAGAAGAATCATCCATAAAGATATCAAGGCTTCCAATATATTGCTCACAGAGGATTTTGAGCCTCAGGTGACCTTTTAAACCAAACGATGATCATCAACCCTATTCAAATAATGCAACATCTAACATGAAACTTGAAATTTGATCCAGATTTCTGACTTTGGGTTGTCAAAGTGGCTACCAGATCAGTGGACTCATCACACTGTATCCAAAGTTGAAGGCACATTTGGGTTCGTTGCTCAAATCTTTACATGAATTTATGAATTTCATAGATATCTGTTACTTCAACTTGACTTCATTTTGTTTTGTCACCACAGTTACCTTCCTCCTGAGTTATTCATGCATGGGATAGTAGATGAAAAAACAGATGTTTATGGCTATGGAGTACTACTATTAGAGCTCATCACCGGAAAGCAAGCTGTAGACGGTTCACAGACAAGCCTCGTGATGTGGGTATGTTATCTAGTCTATGCCACAATTTCATCATATATTAATCAAGCTGACATGCTATTATCGAATTGCACTGATAAAGCAAACTCTGTCAAATATTTACAGGCCAAACCTTTGATCCAAAAGAATAGCATGAAGAAGCTGGCAGATCCTGCACTAGGCGACGCCTATGACTTGGATCAATTGCAACGGTTGGCCTTGACAGCTTTTATGTGCGTGCATCAATCTTCAAACCATCGACCCCAAATGAGCCAGGCATGTTAATTCCTTCAAATCCCGAGTTAATTTGTAAAGGAATGATGCATTTTAATCAGATTTTGTTTTACTCGGTTTTGCAACGGGTGCAGGTTGTGCAACATTTAAAGAGTGCAGAAAGCATACTGGAACTTGTTGAAGAAAACCTCAGTTCGGAAAACCTTGTCAGGACATACTCAGATCAGGTTCTTGATGCTGATGATAACAGCACATCGAAGTACTTAAATGATCTCAATCGACATATGGAGATCGTTCTGGGGCCGTCTACTGATAGTTAAACCCGCATTCATCTTCGAAAATTTCGGCCCTCGAGTATTTCTGGATTCTTGGGAAACTGAGAAACCAAACCAAAGCAGTTCGGAGATTCACATAAATGTTCCAGTCAAGTGAGAGAGCAGTGCAGAATCTATTTACTTGCTTTTCAATTTAGTCTTCGAGTTCTGTCTGTGTAAGCAAAATATGCGGAGAAGAGCAGCTGAGATTGATCATAAATATATAATTTTGTGAACCAATTTTATCAGGAAATTTGTGTCTATTAGGATTAGTAGTTACTACAAACTTTCCTTTTTCATTTTGTGTGTGGAACAGATCAGAAAAAAATAAAACAAAAAAAATTTAATCATTGTTTCTTGTAAATTTAGTTTTTTTTTTTTTTAATGGCTAATTTCGGACTTTTGATTATTTAGGCTGTTTTTTCCTTTCTAGGTATAATATAAATGATTTGATTTTGAATTGACCCACTTGTCTTTTTTTTTTTTCCCCCTCTTACGTGCACCTCAATTATTCTTTCGACACCCTAGAATTATTGATTAAATAAGAACTTTAGTGATTATCCTTATTAGCATCGAATTTAAATTCAAGTCTTTTAAGTAATACATCATAAAGTCCCTATCAAACTACTTAACCACTTAGAGATAGTTAATTAACCCATGTCGACTTTTGAAAACACTGTAAACAATTCAAACTTGGCTAGAAGATTGGAGTGTTTCCAATGCTTTCTTCATAATTCAGAATTGCTAGAAAATTAACACAATGTAATAATGTCTGAAGGTAATATTATTTATAAATGCAAATAATTTTTTTATATAAAGTAAAAATATATATATAAAACTTAAAAGTAAATAAAAATAAAAAGAAAAATGCTATCCTTACAAAGACTCATACAAAGAGGACTACAAAATGACATCATCGAGAAGAAAAAAACAAAGAAAAAACAGAAAAAGAGAAAGAGAGAGAGAAAAAAATCATGAAAATCAAGGGTAGAGATTGTTTTTGTATGCCCCAAATCTAGCATTACTCAAATAAAAATGATTTATTCCTTCAGATAATTTCTAACATCTTACTTAAAAGAGAAATTATAAAAAATGGCCCGAATGTAGGGTGGGAATTTTAACTAGCCCCCAAGTGTGGAAAGTGTTTCAATGACTAGCCCACCCCCAATTTCCCTTAATTTCCAGAACGAAATTGCCGCCATAGTAACTTCATTAACCCTTCAACCAATTTCCAAGCATTCAAAAGCTCAATCTCTGGCAATTAGTAGCAAATCGTGTTCTTTTGACTCAAAGGAGACATTATTGAACCATTTTGAGGGTGTATTGTTGCTTTAAAATCTCGAAAAAAGAGAGAAATGTATGTCATGTTATTTGGAAGTTATATATGTCTACTTTGGTTGATGGATTTCAAATATATGTGTCCTAAACATGTAAATGAAGGTTTTTTTTTTTGTTTTTTTTTTCATTAGATTGTTGTTTTTGTATGTTGTATGAACTTAGTATTGAATGGACATGATGCAAATAGATGGTTTTAGGTGATTTTCACGATAATAGGGTAGGAATATCGATTATGTTGGTCATAGTCGATCGAAATTCGATCCAAAGGTCAAAGATGAACAATGACTAACACCCATCTATCGGTCATTATTGGTCACATAAGGGTTATCGACCGACAAATGACCAATAGCAGGTTGTCGATTTGGGTCGGTTAGCTAAGGTTTAGTCCAAATGATCGACACTCTATGTCGATCACTGTTGGTCAATGTCAGTTTTGAGCTTTGAATTTCATTCTACTTGCATTTTTTTTGTTACAGAATTGTGGTTTGATTAACCATTGACTTTTTGGTGGTTTTTTCAGGAAAATGAGGAACTTGGTTCATGCTTTTGTGAAGTATTGAGGACAATAGGAGACCCAAAGTAATGAGGCATATTAATACGTAGAATTCAACAAAAAAAGCCCTAAGAATACCTAGAGAAGTGAATTATGAAGACTTGCTAAAGTTGTTATATATAGAAATACATATCAAACGAGGCAAGAATATTTTGACCTTGACCGTGAAGTACATGCAAGTTGTTGAAGAGTACCCCATAATGATCAAGAATGACAATGATCTAACATTCTTCATTGACACGCAACTGGAAGAGCCGATGAGATACCTTCCATTACATGCATCATTGGTTGATGCGCCATTAATTTATGTTTCTTATAACAACTGTATCAACACTAAGGCATCAAATACAAAATGGAAGCCAATATTGAATCAAGCAAGTGTTAATCCAATGAATGAGGTGTGTGGGGTTGTTGAGCCTATGACACTGTTAATTTCACTAGTCCTTTTCAGATGTTTTTAGTAGGTATGTTTGTGGGATAAGAAAAGGGTCTTGACCACAATAAGCTTATCACCATGTTGATCGACTATCTCCATGTTGGTTGGCTACCATAGTTTCCCACTAACATAACTTTCTAAGACCATCTCTGGGGACCTAGTACCCCTTTTTGATACCTCCTAAAAACATTTAAGAAGGACTAGTGAAATTAATTTTGCAAAAACTCAGCAAGATTTCTTATTCCAAGGATCCACATAGTGGCAATGGAAGAGCATACTAACTTGTAATATTTAAAACAATAGGGGCCTCGCTGTTATTTTTGCCACTTTTAGAGAGCTACAATATTTTGGAAAGTTAAAAAAAAATTGGCTTCAAACGGCGTCGATTTGGATTGCTTAAAGTTGTGGTCAACTGTGCGAATTTACCAGCTTGGTGTCCAGTGTCCTAGTGACAGTTAAACGACTCCGATTGCTAGGCGTCACATTTTAAACATCTTCCTAGAGAATTTTGACATTTTCCCGGAAAATCTCTCCATTTTTCGCACTCGATCTGAGATACACTCATGCCTACCATGTCTCTCTCTCTGCATCTCCTCTTCGTCGTCTCGATCTCGTTTCTAATTCACAAATCTTCCGGCTCCTTCCTGGCCCCTCCTAGCTCCATCATCAATCCTTCTAAAGTCAAACAAATTTCATGGAAACCTAGGTCTCTCTCAATTTCTAATCTCGTTGTTTTAATTATAAATTATAATGTAATTGCTTTAGTTTCTAATGGTGTATCAATTTGATGACTCGCAGGGCTTTTGTTTACGAAGGTTTTCTCACTGATTTAGAATGCGATCACTTGATCTCTCTTGTGAGATTTTTTTGAATGAGGATTTTTTGTTTAACTATATTTTATTCTATTTGTTTGATTAGTGACGGTAGTTGTTTTGCTTGGTTCGGTAATTTTGTGATTAGGCAAAATCTGAGCTGAAGAGATCAGCTGTTGCGGATAATTTGAGTGGAGAAAGCAAGCTAAGTGAAGTTCGAACAAGTTCGGGAATGTTCATTGCTAAAGGAAAGGTTGTCTCTTTTATTCTTCTTCATCTTACCCAGCCTTTAATTATATGTACACATGATTTCTCATTTGTTATTGTTAATTTATTACTAATTAGTAGTTATTCATGTATAATTATAATTGCCTGCATTTTAAGCATAATGATCAGAAGCACGAAATTTCGCTTCTTTCCTAAAATGGTTTATGATAATACTCTAGCTTTTGTGAATACTCTTTTTTTGTATGAAGCAATTTCCTAGTGTGCAAAGACTATTTATTGTGGAGAATGGTATATTAAATGCTGGTATTGTGCCTTTTTTTTTTTCTCTTTTTTTTTTTCAAAGATTCATTGAACTCATGAACTTACCATCTTGTTCACTGAGAATAATTTAGCTTGAGATAGTGGGTAAACTGTATATCAGTATGCTTTTTTTACTTGGAATAATTATTTGCATCTTCATCATATATTGACAATTGACATAATCTTCTTATGCTTATGTATTTCAGTATCTATTAATTATATGTTGGTCTTTGGGTTACTTCATTTCTTCTTTGTTTTGTTTACTCCTCACCCATCTATGATAAGTTGAAATTAAAAACTGTTTTGGATGCATAAGATGTGTCTTAGTGTTCTATTGATAACTGGAAGGAAGATTCATGGGCAGCAAACAAAGACATATACAACTGCTTTTGATCATCAGTTATTTCCCATTATGCATTTATAAGCCTTTTCTCCTTTGTTAGGATGCTATTATTGCTGGCATAGAGGACAAGATTTCAACATGGTCGTTTCTTCCAAAAGGTGTGCCATACGCTGAAGATGCTCTGCATTTTTCTTTTTTGTTCTTTCTTCTTTTTGGGGGTAATTCACAATATTGTCATTTGGTGATCAAATTACACATTGATCGTGAAAGTGGTCCACTTAGAGAAAGATTTTGGGTAAAGTTGTTAGTTTCTATTACGTATTCTGCCTTGTAATCATTTTTTTATTGGAAGGGAGGAAGCCGATGCTTTTATTGAATTAGCCTGTATGGTTGTGAATGAATATTGATAATATATTAAAATTGGCTTGTCTAGAAAGTGTTTTACTGATGCTTCAAAGGAAATAAGAAATTGCACAAATCTTTATACAGTGTTATCGGTGGCCTATATTCTGTCTTAGTGATAAGTGGCTTGATCATGAACACCTTAAGTATTCATTTCTTTTATTCTTGAAAACAAGTTACTTTTTCTACTCCAAAATTGTTTAATAGAATAAAAGAAACCATTTCTTTATCTGTCACTATTATTTGTTACCAATAATAATGAGATTCTTTCATCTTTGTAATATTTGTAATAATGTACATAACTACATTTTTTTTTGGGGGGGGGGGGGGGGGCGTGGATAGGATCTTGCATAACAAGTGTTTGTATTGCTTGATTTTCAGAAAATGGGGAAGACATACAAGTCCTGAGATATGAACCTGGACAGAAATATGATGCACACTATGACTACTTTGCTGATAAGATTAATATTGCTCGGGGTGGCCATCGTATAGTTACTGTTCTCATGTATCTTACTGATGTTGCTAAAGGTGGTGAAACAGTGTTTCCCAATGCAGAGGTTAGTTGATTTGTTTTATTCATAATTGCTGCCAATCTTCTGTCAGATGCCTTGTATCATATAGTCATTGGCAACATTGTTTAGTTTCCTCATTTGCTAGGCTCCTTATGAGAATATGATTTTTGTTTTCATATGCCTGATGTGTGTATGATCTAACGAATGAGGAACATGAAGGTATGGGACTATGGGTGGTTTGTATTATCATTTTAAGTGGATGATAGCACTAAGGGAATTTCTACCAACCTCTTCTCCTTTTACAAAAATTGATTGGTCCTCTTTTTCTGCAAAAATCTGCAAACAGGAGCCTCCACGTCGCAGCAGAACTCCTGCAAAAGAGGATGACCTCTCTGAATGTGCAAAGAGAGGAATTGCAGGTAGGCCTCTTGACATGTTGTAAATGCTTTTATGTATTGTAAATGTATTGCTGCATTTGAAGTGACTTGATATTCTTTTGAACGTCTTTTATCTTGACCTTGAAAATTCATAGTGAAACCACGAAAAGGAGATGCTCTTCTTTTCTTCAGTCTCTATCCTACTGCCGTTCCAGACACAAACAGTCTCCATGGTGGATGCCCAGTGATTGAAGGAGAGAAATGGTCAGCAACAAAGTGGATTCATGTTGACTCATTCGACAAGAACGTTGAAGCCGCTGGGAACTGCACAGATATGAATGTAAGTTGTGAGAGATGGGCTGCTCTTGGTGAGTGTACCAACAACCCAGAGTATATGGTGGGAACTGCAGAGCTTCCTGGCTATTGTAGAAGGAGTTGTAAACTATGTTAGCCTTTAATCTGTAGGCTTCTTTGGGTGGATTGTATTTGTTTTTTCCCTTGCATCGTTCAAATTTTGGTGAAATGTCATATTACTATTATTATAATTTTCTTTATGATGATTATACGCAATATTATAATTTTGTCCTGCCTGTTTTCTTATGGTTTTGAACTATATTGACTTGAAATGTTGAGATTGATCTTGCTATTTTTTGCCCGCCCTGAGTCATTATCACAGGGATTAAATTCCATTGACATCTAGCCCCTTCTGGGTATGTTAATATCTTATTTGGCTCGTGGTAGTTGCGTAATAAAGATTTTTTTAAACAGTCAAAAGTATCATTCTATTAATTCGGCTGTAGCACATTTTCATATACTTGGATTTCTCTGTCTTACTGGGAAATAATGAAATGATTCTGATGGTGCCATAACTTAGCAAATTCAAGGACCACAGTCAGATTCCCATCACATTGAAAGAAATGACCCTATTAAATTCAGCCAAAAAGACCCATGCTGCAGTCTCTGTCTAAATCCCAATGCCAATTGCCAACTGGTTAATGCTACTGCACGCAAGCTCCTCTCATGTCTCATCTTCAACTTAGAAATGAGGATATGTTGCATGAAAAATATTCAAACCAATTCTCTTTTTTATCTCCCAAAGTGACAATGGGTTCTCAGTAACTTTAAAGCAAAGGTTATTGACAGTCAATGAAAAACAAATACCAGCTATCAATTTGGTTTGAAACATTGATAACATCTTTTAGGTTGGACTGACCATTTTCACGACTGGTTTTCTTCTGAGAATATATTATTATTATATTACTGAATAGACACTTTCATCAAATTGGCTAAATATTGGTTACCAAAGAGAAGAATAATTAATGGTTCTACTGAAAGATGATGAAACCAATCTTTGCATGATGATATATACGAATAATTAAAGAGAAGAATAACAGCCATACACCTCATTTCACCTACAAATGAAATCAAAACATATTTTTTATAATACAGAAAATGATAACGAATCTCAATCTCTCTCCTTGCTTATGCTTAATAAAAAAAGAACCAGAGGCCAAACCGGCCAAAGTCCACGGAGCCATTTTTTTTACCTTAAAAGAAAGAAGGGTTTCTCAAAGGCGTCGTATCTTTTCATCCAGCTGTCCCTTCTGTGTCCATTAATCCCCCATTAATTAAAAATCAAGATTAGCTGTATTCAGATTGGTTGTGGCATTGCAAGATTCTTTCAACCATGAATAATATTATAAAATTAACTGTAAACGTGCAGAGTTCAAGAAATATGCTCGCAGAAAAATACTGGTAAGAAATAATCCATATATATCAAAAAGCCTCAAATCAGCAATCATGCCTTGCCTTTTGGATAGTTGGGATTATTCAACAACCCAGCTACTTTAACTCTTTATCTCAAAACCCCATTCATTATTATTATTATCAAGGACTCTTAGAACATTCTTAAATTCCATATTATCATCCGAGTAATACTATATTTATACCATTTTTTTATACTATTTTGTAAACATCATAATATGACATATGCTACAATCACACAAATTCTATTATAATACTAAAAATTTAAAATAATTAAAAATTTGTGTGGTTGGTCATATGCCACATCATGATGTAATGAAAATTATGTAAAAGAGTGATGTAAGTATAACATTACTCTTGTCATCCAATATTTTTTGGATGAACGGAATGTTTGGGTCAGTTTATACATACTTTAACTAATCTTTTGACACCTTGAAATGAACGATTAGGCAAATCATTTCAGTGGTTACTTTTATTAATGTCTAAAAGGACTCGAATTCATAAACTTATTAGACCCTTTTGCTTTTTTATCACCGAGCCATCCATAATGGTTTCAAAAGATAATTGAAAACAGCCTTCCATTGGTTCCCCATAAAGGGGTCTCAAATCATTCAACTAAACAAAAAATTAAAATAAAAGTGAGTGACCACAAAACTTAAGAATCATATACACCTTAGTGGCTGTAGTGTCAATGATAAGGATTGTTTTTTTGTTATATTATCTTGATTTGCCATCCCAACAAAATTTCCAAGAATAGAAAACCAATCAGAAAAAGGAAATAACTAAATAAATAAAGATATATAAGGAAAAGACTTGTAAATATTCCATAAGCAAAGTGGTGACAGCTCTATATTTTTGGAAATGGAAAAGACTGATTAATGATAGTAACTTTGGTTTAATTATCTTGTTTACACTTTACTGGACCATTCTTTATTTTTTTTCTTCTTCTTTTGTAGGTGACACAGTCAGGAAGGAAGGACGGACGGACCAAGACTTTTCTTTTAATCTTATCTGATTAACAGTGATGCTGATGCATGCCCCAACAAGTTTACCTGAATTCAGATCTTGAGAAGAGAACCTATAGCTACCTATTTCATCAAAAACATTTACAGATTTATGTGAAAAATTATAGCTTTACTAGTGTTTAAGCTTTTCCATAAAATTTTCATGTATTCAGAAACTGACCCTTGTTTCTATTCTTCATCCTTACATGAAATTCGCTGAAATTAGAAATTTTTAATTATCTTTAATAGAAAAAATATTAAAATTTGTAATTATTTTTACGTAGTCTAAAATCATTTTAATTTTTTTTACTTTTATGCAAAATGTTATATATAATCAATATTCTTAAACTGTTTTAAATAAATAATTAGGAGGTTGTTCAAACATTTTCATATGACTAGAGGGTCAGTAGATTCTTGAGAAAGAATAGAAGGAGAAATTATCTTTGGATGATCGAGTTGTTCGATAAGGACTCTTAAGTATATTATTCAAGAGGTCTTGAATTCAAGTCTCTCTTTGATTACTAATAGGAATCGTTATTAGAATTTTTACTCAATTAATAATTATAAAGTTCTGATGAACTATTTAAGATACACATAAAATAACTTAAACATCCTGGTTATTAAAAAAAAAAAAAAAGGTGGGAGAGGAAAAGAGAACAAGTACTCTTTAACTGTAATGGTAGATATATGAAGAGCATACAAACTTAAAAAGATGAATTATTATATTAATAAAAGACTATTATGGTAACAGAGTTTAAAAAAGGATAAGTTTACAGCCAAAAAAAAAAAAAAATGATGGATAAAACTTAAAAGTATTGTAAGTTGAAAAGGTGGTGGAGAGAGAGCGAAAAAGATGGCAGGGGTCCTATTTTAGAAGCTTAAATGCTTAATAAATGACGTAAATGGCAGGGTGATTCTCTGACAGAGAAAAGAAAAGAGAGAAGCACAAATCCAGAGAAAGATAAGAAGAAAGGTGCAGTAGAAGTAGACTCAAAAAAATAGCTAGTAAAAAAGTACACCACCAAAGCGACAAATCTTTGGATTTTTCATCTGCTCTACGCATTAAATTCATCAAATCACTTTCAAGGTTGCAAGCATTTATACCCCCTTTTCATTGTGTAATTATTCCACAAGATCTCCAATTTTTAACCCACCGGCTTTATTGGCTCATAGCTTTAAAAGTAGTGTGTATTTGTGTGTAGGGAAGAAGAGTAACAGAACAAAAGCTAAGGCATGGATGTGGGTCAGATGCAGAGAAGGCTGCTGGACTACACTAAGTCCTTGTTCATGGAGGTAAATAAACCACTAGAATATAAAATATGCTATCGGATTTTTGGTTTGTTTTGTTGTGTTGGTTTTGNTAAAAGTATTGTAAGTTGAAAAGGTGGTGGAGAGAGAGCGAAAAAGATGGTAGGGGTCCTATTTTAGAAGCTTAAATGCTTAATAAATGATGTAAATGGCAGAGTGATTCTCTGACAGAGAAAAGAAAAGAGAGAAGCACAAATCCAGAGAAAGATAAGAAGAAGAAAGGTGCAGTAGAAGTAGACTCAAAAAAATAGCTAGTAAAAAAGTACACCACCAAAGCGACAAATCTTTGGATTTTTCATCTGCTCTACGCATTAAATTCATCAAATCCCTTTCAAGGTTGCAAGCATTTATACCCCCTTTCATTGTGTAATTATTCCACAAGATCTCCCATTTTTAACCCACCTGCTTTATTGGCTCATAGCTTTAAAAGTAGTGTGTATTTGTGTGTAGGGAAGAAGAGTAACAGAACAAAAGCTAAGGCATGGATGTGGGTCAGATGCAGAGAAGGCTGCTGGACTACACTAAGTCCTTGTTCATGGAGGTAAATAAACCACAAGAATATAAAATATGCTATCGGATTTTTGGTTTGTTTTGTTGTGTTGGTTTTGATTTAGTGTTGTTTGTTTTGTTTTTGGGAGAGAAGGGTGTTTTGGATGGTCAGTTTTTACAGCTTCAGCAGCTGCAAGATGAAAGCAATCCAGATTTTGTTGTTGAAGTGGTCTCTCTCTTTTTTGAAGATTCTGAGAGGCTTCTCAATGATCTCACCAGGGCTCTGTAAGCTCTCTCTTTTGATTTTACTTCTGGTTATGGTTGATTCTAACAGTCTTATCTGATTCTAACCAATCTTTTGCTTTGTTTTTTATATTTGGTTGCATAGAGATCAGCCAAATGTGGACTTCAAAACGGTTGATTCCCATGTTCATCAGTGGAAGGGTAGCAGTTCAAGGTACATACAACTAAAACAACAAGTTCCCTTCTTTTCTTTATCCAAATAAAACACAAGACAAAATTTTCTGTTTTTGTTTCTGATCTGTGTTGTGGAGCCATTTGATCCTACATATCTAGTATCCAATACATTCTTCAAACCCCACCAAAGAAAATAAAAGAAATATTATTGACAATAAACTTAGTTCAGATCTGAGACAGAACAACTAAAATTTAAATGTAAAATCGTTTCTTTAACCTCTTTGGTTCAATATTTTCTGTTAACAAGAAATCAATTACTGTGTTCAACAGCATAGGAGCATCGAGAGTTAAAAATGGTTGCATTGCTTTCCGCAACTTCTGTGAGGAACAGAACATTGAAGCGTGAGTATCTTTTCGTCTAGTTTTTTCTTTGTTTTTAGAATTAAATCTGGAGACTGCATGAAGCCATGAAAAGATTGTTGGATTGATTTACAGGTGCCTGAGGTGTTTGCAACAAGTGAAACAAGAGTACTACCTTGTGAAGAACAAGCTTGAGACTCTGTTCAGGGTGAGTACAGTAGATTTTTGGTTGAATTATTTTACTTATTCTGTATTTCATTAAATATATTGTTTTTTTAAATGAAATTATTGGTGGTTTGCAGATGGAACAACAGATTGTGGCAGCTGGAGGATCAATTCCCATTCTGGAATTAAGTTTTTAAAGTTCATCAAATCGAATGGAAAGCAAGTAAATTTGGTGGGATTACTGTAGAGTAGCTTTTGTAATCCCCTACTATTGCTTCTTCTTTAAGACTCTTAAGTAATCAGCCTGTGGTTTGTATGAATATTTTCTTTAAAAAAAATGGGAGAGATTTCCATCTGTTTCCACGTTCTATTATCATATTTCTCTTCTATGACCACATCCTTTTTTATTTTCATTTCCTTAAGTCAAGTATTTCATGCACTATCTAAAATATATATTCAGAAAAAAATTATGCAGAAGACCAACTCGTTTCACATTAATTTGTGCAGGGTGTCCTGCTTTAATTTTGTATCAGAAAATACAAAGTTTTGCTTACCATTTTCATTACTGGGAACAAATCCCATGAAAATAGGCTACACAGCAACCAAATAACAAAAAAGATTTAGTTCAGTACAAGCATGGGAGTTTATAGTTGGCATTTGTGGTGGCCAAGATAATAAAGAAATGGAGATGCATGGTTCGTAATTTCTTTCTTGGTTTAATAAATAAAATGAATTAGACAGCAAAGTCTTCTGCAATTTTGGGGACTTGGGAAATCAGGTCAATCTCAATTGGTTGGGACTGTCTCTCTGTTGTGCCAAGGGATTCACAAAAACTTGGAAATTAGTGGGAGCATCCCTGCCCCATCTTCAGTAATCAGTCTTGTCATTAAAAAATTTGGCAAATTTTCATGCTGATCAAAGTTTGGTTTTGTCAAGACTCAAGAACAAAAGGAAACCACTTGCTTGACAGCCCAGCAAACAATGATAAAAGAAGAAAAAGAAATGTGAAAGGTTTAGGATTAGGATTAGGATTAGGCGAGGTGAATCTTCAAAGGTTCTTCAAACCATCTAATCAACTTAATTATGCACACTAATTAAGCATCTTTGACCAAGTGAATAGTTTGCCCCAGAAAATTTACATTACAGTGTGTGAAAGCTCTGGCAATTAAAGTTTCCAATAAAAAAAGATCAATTAATTTATTGGATTATTAATGATGGCACCAAGTTCTATGTATCAGGCCTGGAATTTAGTAAAGCATTTCATTGCATCAGATAAAGAAATAATTAAACATGTTCATGTAAAATGCTGATGTATGACTTTATATGAGTACTTCTTTTTGGCATTTGGGAACTTGGTGTTGTGAGAGTTTCTATTTGGAAGAAGAATCTTAGCAAATATTACAATTGAAACTGCTCTATTTGAAGAAAGAAAATCAATTCCTGTTTTCAGAGAATAATTAACCCAAAACCTCTAAGTTAAAATCCCTGTTTTATTTTTTGGTTTGGTTCTCCAAATTCTTCTTTGTTCATCAAAGCTTGCTATCACAGCACTCTGCTTTTTGTTACCAAGTCTATATGCAAATATGTTATAGTAAGCCATTGGGTCCAAATTATCCAATACTTTCACAAGTTTTCCTTGCTTCCTGTCAACCAAAATTTGCCCATCTTTGGATTCAACACCTTCAGCAAAAACCCTGATTGATTTTACTTTAAAAATTGGGTTCAGAGATGAATAATCATGAGCCAACACTACTGCACCAAGAATTTCCCCTAAGAATGTATCCTGTAGAAGAATTATATTAAGTCATAGTATATAATGTAGGAGTCTACAAGATCAGTACTATACATAATTGAACTTAAAACAAGAAGATTTACCATGTGACTGTATCGATGATGGGTTCGTTGCAGACGATATAGCCTTGACAGCAAATGCCGAGCAAACCCAGTTTCAGGTGTCCTGTTTGCAAGGTGCAGACTTCTGAGGACACTAGGAAATGAACTGACTTTACGCTGAATGCCAAGTGGAATGAGTGTGATGTTTAGGGCGGAGTTGAAGACTCTGTTTGCAGCCAAAGGGTCAAGAAACATATTGAATTCTGCATATTTATTGGAAGGAATGCTAAAGACATTTCCTGTGTCTTTGTAATCAAGGCTGATGTGTCCTCCAACAACATACACATCCTGCAAACAGATTTGACATCACTAGTTAATGCTATGCATCCCATTTTCATACTTGATGTCAAGAAATGGTTAGATGAACTTTTACTTTAATGTCTTATCAACAAAATACCATGCTTCATTAGCAGGGAGCAGGGGACATCTGCATACCTGAATTAGAGAGGTCGAATTTTCCCTTGATGAAATAATATTGGCTAAATTAGTCAGGGGTCCATTGGTCAATATGGTAATCTTGGACCCCGGATCAAGAGTTTGTGCTATGGAATCCCAAATTTCCAATGCTAGAGGTTGTCTAAGTTCTGGGTGATCAGTATCCCGAGGAGCTCCATATTTTACAGAGTTCTCTGCTGTATACCTTGAACAAAGCTCAAAATTTAGTACCAAATTATCAAACACAAAGATTCATAGAAGAGAAATGTAGAGTGTATATACCTTCTAGGACTACGCGGCATATCACGAGCGAGCCCATATAGAGTGTCTGAGTCTAGAAATCCACCACTTCCTTTTGGGATGGCTTTAGCATACTTGCAGTCTCCAACGCTAGTGACATGTGGATCAGATTGATTCATTGCAAATACATCTCCTAGGCCAACTGTAATGTCGTCGCGACCCATCATATGCAGTAGATCATAAACTGCATCAATCGTTGCAGCATTTGCCCAGCCAGTTGGACTTACTATTATTGCCTGGATGAAAGGGCAAAGACCAAGCCCATCAATTCCATTGTCATTCAGGGGAAACCTCTTTTATGTCATATATTACTGGTAAGAAACATGTTCTCATTTTCCAGATGCAAACACTTAGATAAAACATTTCTGGGAAAATGAATGCTCTTGATTCTAAAGAATTTGCCTAAGATACCATTCATGTTTTATATTTTGACAGAATATCTAGTCATGCATCAATCTGATTATCATCAACCACATTTAGCTTTCTACTTGGATTGATTAGATGAAATGAAATCAAAGGAAAGTAAATTGATTAATGTTAGATACTTAAGATCCACTAGAGCAATAGTCCTTCGGTTCTTCTCTTTAACAAGAAAAATAACTTTTATGAAGTCAGTAATAGCATAACTAATCTTAGGGGTCAGTCAGTGAAGACAGAAAAAGTGGTCAGCCACGTACCTTGAGATTGATAACTTCCACAGGAACTTTTAGGAGATAGAATAGAGCTAGGAAATCTCCAGCACTCATGTCCATGTCAAAGACAACAGGCTTCCCCAGCTTTTTGGCACCAAACTTTGGTTTGTAAAAGACTTGTTTGTAATAGGGGAATTGTGTTGTAAAATTGAACCTTCCACTGTGTTGAGAGTGATTTAGAACCTTATCAGACAAAATACACAAAAAAGAAAAATTGTTAGTAAGATTATATCATATCCAACTTTTGAAGAAAAACTGATTGAATAAACTTACATCCAGGAAACTTTTGTAAAATTCTCTGTTAAGTTTGCTTCCAGCATCTTGACTAGGTTTTGCCTTGGTAGCAACAAGAATGCGCACAGCATCACAGCTATTTACCTCCTCTGTGTATCCATCCTATTTGATTGTTCAGAAATAGACTTGAATTCATTTTTTACCATGTCAAAATCAAATAAGTTGAAAAAGAGGACTCAAACATGAAAACTCTTTGTTGCAACTGCTTAAAAATTGTTGGTTATGCTACCACAAATGGGAGAAAGATCACCTTGCATTTCCCTTTGCCATTCTTGACAATGCAAAATGGATCTCGAAGTCCTGTTTGAACATGACCACTATGAACTCCACCTTTCTTTAGATTGAACTTGGGAACTATACGCCGATCGAAGAAAGGATTCGATCCATCAGATATCCCATAAGGTTTATTTGAAGTAACAACAGTTACATTCATGTACTCCATTTCTGCAAATTCATTCTGTCCATTATTTTTGTGTGAATTACGCATAATTGAGACTGCCACACCCGATGTAAAGGAGTCCCACATGAAGTAACTCTGCAAAAGATTGGTTAAGTCACAATCCAATATTGCTCTAAAAGTAAATGCAAGTTGTATAAACATTACAGGATTCAGATGAAAAATCAATCAATGCAACTTGAAAGCGAGCAACAAATTACCATGTAGAATCGATCATCAAACCAAGTATCACGAACCATTTTCAAGGACTGGAAGCAATATTGTGCCTCATAAGTACTCTGGCTTTGCTCAAAAACTTCATAGAATTTCTCACTTATGGGGATAGTATTCGTAGCATCTAGAGGGACAAGGGTGACCGGAATACCAGAATGAAACACCTGCAGCAAATCCAAGCCATTTCTAGTCTCTTCAGACACCAGTAATGGAAATAAATTGCCACTTGTTAACCGATTTTCTGATTACCTGATATGCAGCAAAAGGATCTCCAAAAATATTGAACTCTGCATAAGGGTTACTGGTGTAGCCAGTGTTCAAATTTCCAGGGTCACCACACTGTCGAGGCTGGCAAGAAGTGCTGGCATTTTTTGGGCAACAACCCGTTGGATTTCTGTACCTCACACCACCACCCATAACATAAATATGCTCAATATTTTTCCTCAAATGGGGGTTCTTCATTAGGAAAATAGCAATATTTGTATGAGCTCCTGTCATTATTATAGTAATAGGACCTGCAGATACTTTATCAATCAACACTTGCTGTGCGGTATGTTGTCGAAGAGGCAAATAGCTCCTGCTGCCCTATTGTCATTAACAAAATTATCATCTAAATGTACAGATGTAGTTATGTTGATGCAAAAGACAAGTGACAGATTTTCAGATACAAATTTTCCTGGAATTCAATTGAAAACCATTCAATTAAGCGCAAGAAGCATAGAATATTAATTTTCGCTCTGAAAAGTCTATAATTTTATACCTGGGGAAGGAATCTTTTTCGTATGCCGAAATTAGAATCAATATCTAATCTTCCTCTAAGACCTACAGGAATAGCCTGTCTGTATCTGCAATATCCTGCTGTTGTATTGCCCTGTTATAAACATTTGACAAGAAACAAACGGGCACATTTTAAGAAACAGAACAAGAGTTTCAGAATCAGGCAATTAAGTCCTTTCATTTCCCAATGCAAGTGCAAATTCATCATGTATGCTAAGAGGCTATCCAATCAAGTAAACAACCTGATCAATAATTGGAAGATATCCACCAACATCTGAAAGTATGGTTCCATCTTCTAAAATTCCACCTTCTCCTCCCACTCCGACTGAAATATCGTCGCGGTCCATCATGTAAAGAATGTCATAGATATGATTCACCGCGTGACCAGCATTAGTCCATGCATTTGTGTTGATGGTGATTGCCTGCGATGTTACTAAAAGTCATGGCATGTGGGAGAGCTGCTTTTTGGTAAGCATTTCTCCATTGAACTACATTAGCATTGAATGGCTTGAGTCCACAAATTATGACCGAGTCCTCAAAAGGCAAGATTCTTAACAGTAAATATTGGCAAGATATTGAAGTCACAATAATTACAGTCTACCTAAACCAAAAGTAAATAGTAATCAAGTAATTACTAATCCAGCATTAACTTGAGGAAAAAAGATTATAAAAGAAGATTGGCCTTCACTCATTGCTACAAGACTAAAATGAGTGGAACTGAAAACTTTCATAAAAATCCATCCAAAAGCTGAAACGTTTAAAATTTTCAAAAGTGTTTGATCATTTTTTGGTGACATAAGCTTGTTGCCGGCACAACTGGGTTACATTATAAGTTTGAAACAAGAATTGTTACAATAATTAGAGCATTAATAGAGAGAGTTTATTCACCTCCAGTTTGAATTCTGATCGGTTAAGCTTCAAGAGGTACAAGAGACCGAAGAAATCATCGGTATCAACGTCTGTATCCATAAGAATTCGATATGGCTTACCCTCCACAGTATAGAAATCATCTCCAAGCACAACAAAAATTCCTATGATCAATGTTATAGCCAACCAGGAATTGTTTTGCCACAACATTTCTAAACTCTGCTCAAATCACAACCCAGAAAGCTTGTCCCTCCAAACTATAAAAAAGAAAGCCAAGCCAAAATAAATGCTATGATCATCAACTCATTCCTGAATCACAGGAATCATAACTCAAAGTGTAAAAGACAGAACATAAAGAGATAGAAAAGGAAACTGCAGAATAAAGAACCTTCTTATATATAACAAATGAAATCATTAAACTGATACACACACACACACACACACACACACACACATATATGGAATAAAGCACGTGATCACGAAGGTAAAAGCACAGTTAAAACCCTCAGTACAGAAGAAGAAGAAGATGAAACAAGTAAGATGCAATGTTACAAGTACAGGATAAAGATTCTTGGACTTAAATATTAGAAAAGATTTGGAGAGCGAGATAAAGTAATATATATATATAAATGTTGAATGATTTTGAAGAATCATAGTTGCTGTTATAGGCCTTGTGGGCACTGGTCAAAGTTGTTTAAGTCATCTAGCCTTTGGTTTATACCACTTTTTATGTCATTGCTTGTTTAATACTGAAAAATGACATGTTTTGACGTTTATTATTATTGCTGCTTAAATTTTTAGATAATTGAGTACCTTTCTTCACAAATAGATGAGGAAAGCCGGCGTTTTGAGCTATCTGAAAGCACTTCTAAAAGTCTGAGAATCACTTCCTGAAATATACTGAATTTAGATACAAAAAGACAAATGCCCCAGTCCATAAATTGTGGTTAAAAGAAAGCAGAACTGCGGCAGTATTACAATGTCAACTACATCAACAAATTAACTTTGAGATAGAAACCCTTGTGGATTAGAAACAATCCATCCATTGTAATCAACCACAATGAATCAACACTATCAGATGCATATTACTTAATGGGATTATATTTTGTTGGGTCTCCCACTACAAGCACACAGCCATCAAGTGTGAAAAAAGAAAAAATTTAAGTGCTTTGTACAATCGTTTATTTTTCTTGGCGTGCTTTGACTTCTGTTGATGATTAATCTTTCCTCTAATTGATCATTATTTTCTATTGTTTATCTCTGACTTTTGTTTCTGACAAAATTCAGCAGCAACCTGCAACTACTTCATCTTGAAACTGTATGGTCTGTGATTGCTTATATTAAAAAGAGAAAATATTGGATTAAAAATACTATTCACACTTTATTGGATTGATCATGCATGTTCCATAACTTATATATTCTAGATTTAGATTTAATATATTTTTTTATAAGTAAACAATAAAGAAAGTATAGAGTTAATATATAAGTGTGGGATCCATGCATAGATATGATTGACCAAAAATACCAGACCAGGGCAGGGAAATAAAACAAGTTGTCTGTGTTTAGATTAATCCCCAAATAAAATCATCTTTGTAATCTTATGATGGCAAATCGAGAAGATTGTGTTGTCCACAGATTGATCAATCTTTTTACATTTGGATTCGCACATTTTAATAACTATTTTTAAATTATTAACAAGGTTGTAATTACAACTGTTTATCTTAATTACAAAAGTGGTATCTATCTCCACTATGCACTCAATTTTGGCTCCAACAATACAAGGTTCAAACACACAATAATCAGAATTAAAACAGTAAGAACAAGACAATAAGGGTGTAAACTAACCTTGTGTTCATCGTTGAGTTCAACTTTGAATTCTCTTTGCACTAACAAAGAAAATAGTATATACACTTAGTATCACAGAGCTCACTCACCTTACAAATTATGAATTACACAAAATAGAATGGAGGAAATAGAAATCGTAACCCCAAGAACCCTCGACTCTCTCCTGTATTCTACGCGTTCTGTATGCTCACTCTTATAGTTTTCACACTTTGCAGTCATATAACACATAAGGTAAATATCATGTCTTGGAACTAGCAAATATAAGTGTCTTTGATGGAATTGTAAATGTAATTGCTGCATAGTAATTGCCAAATGTTTTAAACATTGCAAAATTTGGACTCCCGATGTCGATGAATTGGAAGTTACAAATTAAGTGGAGGAAGAAAATCAAAAAGTCAAAGTACAATTGAGTGATTATATTTGACAACTTAATTACAATAATCGAATGGATATTAATATCTTTCTCAATCATCCAAATGAACAATAAGTCATATATGCTTTATTTAATTATTTAACAAAATTATTTGAGAAAATAAAGTATATTGTTTCACAATTCCATTTTTAGAGAGTATATTAAAATATAGTAATTAATGATAAATCCATTTATATTTAATGAGAATTTGGAAATATGTTTTGTCAAACCAAAAAGAAAACAATATTACTATATTTACAAAGATTTTCATACAAAGTTGGGTGATAAAAAATGTACGAAAGAGTGAAACAAAAAATCAAACTCATTATATTCATTCTTTTATTTATTTTTTATCACATCATTTTGTATAGAGGGATCTTTATAAGATTTATTTGTAAGTGTAGTATTACTATGAAAAAAAAAGAAAAAAAAAGTTTTAACATGTTGTATTTTAAGTATGTAATACAGTAAACATAAAAGGAGAACAAAAAATTTGGTATAAATATGAAAAAAAAAAATAAAGAATCAAGTGGAGCCAAATGCGCAGCCTTGTTCCTTGGTAACCCTACAAAGATAAACCCCGTGAAGATTGAAATCTTTGGGTCCGCTACTGTTTTATTCATATTATTAATAAAGCAAATATAATCTCAATCAAATAATCCTGAAAACGAGTGATGAAGTGGTGGAATATGGAGGAGGGCGGGTTAGCGGGGGATCTCCGTAAGAATGTACAAGTGTAAAGACAAAGAAAGAGGGAAAGGGATAAAAAGGAGAAGACGTAAAGTTGTGCTTGTGTTGAGAATCCAATCCGAGGAAAGTGAAAGTGACTCTTCAACAGTTCGTAAACTTTGATGATGTTTCTATATCTATACATCCACGTGGGCAATACGTGTAAAACTTTGATTTGACATGTTATTCTATGCCCTATTTTTGCCACTGTTTTCCAAAGCAAAACTTGGTGCTTTCCTACGTATTCATGGTCGAATTGTGGGTTTCCTGCGTGGATTGTTCTTTTTTCTAATTAATTATTCAACAATCATCCCTACTCAGTCGACATTGTTTTAGTTTCTGATGGTAAGTTTCGACGGTTACAATCTCCTTCAATTTATTCATATTTACTTATTAACCACTATTTCCATCCAAATTATCATTATATTTCAATCATATATTGACTCTATTGGTTTACAAACTGAATAATACAAAGGAGAAAACGTAAAAGTATTCTCACAAACAAGTTTTTAGAGAATGATTACTAAAATATTTCGTCTTTCTTCACTTGTATTACTTGTTTACTTGTCAGTAACCGTTAACAAAGCTAATATACAAGCTGATTATATCATCATATACATCATAGACATGCTAACTTTGCAAAGCATTAAATGCTAACCTAATTTACAGAGATATTTACAAGATATTATCACAGAGTCATACGTTCTTAACTACTACAAAATCTGTCAGACTTAATATTCCTAAAAGTCAGTTAAACCACTCCAGGTAATTGACCAACTCTGACACCTTCTAGATAGGCTTTGAATCATCGACCTCTTTCAGGTCGTATAATGCTTCTGATCACATGCACATTTGGTCGCATGGATTCTTTCTTGTATTGCTTCCAAGTCGCATTACTTCCTGGTCGCTTCTTCCAAATTGCATGCCCTTTAAGTCACATGCTCTTCAGATCGTTACCGATCACATCATCCTACAACTCGCATCCATCTTATATTGCACATTTGATCACAAGCTTCAGATTGGGCAAGCCTTCAGATCGCATTCTCATGTTTCCAGCAAGATATCACTTGCTTTAATAGACTCCACAAACGAAACTATATATTCTTATTTGATTTAAAATATATAAATACAAGAGACATACAATGAAGGCATCCAATACACATCAAGTCAAAGAAGATGAATCCTTTAAAATAACCCTAAGTCCTATAACTGGTCCAGGCATTTTTTTTTTTTTTTTTTATAATCAGGATTTGCGCCAGTTTACACATACCTTAACTAATCTTCAGGGTCCATTTAACACCCTACAAGCTCAAAAGACCAGATAACTCCATGCATGATTTAACCACTACTTAATATAATTTCAAATTCAAATTTTAATATATAAAGTAGTTTTTTCAAATGGAATGACTCGCATGGGTTAGATTGAGGAGATTAGTATTTGTAATTTGACTTGAAGCAGTTGACTTAAAAGGGTTTTCAAAAGAGTGAATTGCTTGATTTAAGATGTTGATGATGAATATTTAAACTGTAAAAAATCCTTGTTTGAATAAAAAGAGGAAATCATAAAAGTGGTCAAGAAAATTAAAGGAATGAAGAAGAGATTGAGTAACTTAGTTATCCTTTGACCATTATGCAAAGATGATAGAATCTTTAATTTGAATATTTTGTTACATGAGCACATGGATTGCAATTGAAAACAAAAATTAAAATTAAATAAAGAGTTGAATATAAACTTCAAGGATTTGTGGGTATGATAGAGGGATTTGATGAATGAAAATTATGGATGAAATTAATCTTACATTCCCAAAACCAATGTGGTATTGAAAAAGGGTATTGTTTCCCAACCATTGAATGAGCATTTTGGGTTTTGAGATCTGAGATTTGAGTCCCACTTTTCTTTTTGCTTTTGTGAATATTGGTGGGGTATGAAAAGTGCAAATTTATACATATTGGATAAGTAGAATTTGTGTTAAAGGTGACTGGAAGATTATAGAAACAAATTATTTAAAGCCATGTGTTGCACCAAAAGGTGCTTTCCTTTCCACCACTAATACAATTTGTTTATTTTGGTCAAATCTCACTTTTTTGGCCTCCTTAATTATGTATTTTTGGACACATTCAAAGAGTTTTGGGACCATAGAAATAAGAAAATGTGTCCATCCCCCATTATCCTTTGTTACCAAACACTTCAAAAAACTTTCTATTCTACCTACTACTAAGTATTGACGGGAGAATTTTATGAACTAATCCTCATATTTAGTTAATAGTCATTCTTATTATGTTATTTATGCAGGAATTGTTAGAAACTACCCCTAAACCCTAATGTCATAAAATAAATAGTTAACGGTCTCGAATAAAATAGAAATTTTAACATATTTGGACAATATTAGGGTTTGGAGATAGTTTATGGCGATTTTTATTTTATACTTTCATAAGAATATATAAAGTATATAAATATAAAGATAGGTAATCAGGTTTATGTAATGTAAGTATGATGATTACGACTAAATCATGGATACTTCTAAAGGAGGCAAGTCAAAAGCTTAATTATTAAATCAAATCTAATCATCAATTCATCCTTGGGTATTGCTCCTTATTCAAATCTCAACAATTAA